AATAGTAGCGAGTGAGAAGTCGTGACAGCTCGTCCAGATCTGGTTCGTGCGAAATATTAGGTTATGGATCGTATGTCACAATAGCGCTATTGTTGTGTTAAATCGATACTGCGATTTTGAACTGCTTGTGAAAACCTTTGCATTTTCGCTTTATTCATCACTGATTTTGGTCGATTCGATTCATATAAAGAGATTTTTCAACCGGTTTTTCTGAATTTGGTGTTTTTCCAGTTAGTCGGGTTAGAGTGCTGATGATCATCTCACATGGGCAGCCACAGGTACTCATGAGGCAACGTTTGCACTAACTAGAAGGGGGTTGAATTCAAGCGTCATTGGTGTCGAAGCGTTCAGCCACCCCCGCCTCCCCCCCCCCCCCCGGCCCCCAAATTAGGATTTGATTGAACGCCTTTCTCACCAATGACGCTTGAAAACAAACTGTACGCTCATTTCCAGGATCCCGGTTCTTGAAAGCTATGACGTGAAAGGGTGCGCATCTGCAGTGGCGTATTTTCTCTGCTCAAGACTACACGGGAAGGGGCTGGAGGGTAGTGGTGCCCGAGTGCCAGCTCTATACTGCACCCGTGCTTCCCCGCAGCCAGTAGCCAGACGCGTCACTTCTCTCCGCCCTATTTTTTTGCATGGTCCTGTTACGAAACCCTGTGACGCAGACGGATAGAGGGCAGCGGCTGCCAAAGCATCGAAACGTGCAAAAAACGTATGGCGAGCCAGGAAACGGGATTTTTCAAGGGGAGGGGACTCCGGGGTGGGTGAGCTACTTATAGTCGGTGAAAAGCTGGAGTGAGCGAAGTCACAACGGCCATAGAGTGCCATGGAGAGAGAGTGCAGAGAAAAAGAGAAGATCGACGCGTTCAAAGGGATTGAGTTCAAGCTGTCCGTAGACCGTTCCGCACTTTTTTGAATGGGAAAAGGGATCCACTTCTGTTGACTCATTCACCCGTACATGGCAAGGATCCACGGAGGTGAGTGTACAGTCAGTATCATCCAATCGGTTGGAATGACCCACCCTCCGGCCTTGCGATAACTCGTTGATTTCTCCCTAAATAGATCACCAGCCGATCACTGTTGGTAGAGCAAGGCAGCCGGAGGCGGGCTTATCCCGCCCTCGTCACACCACCTCCGACTAATTGCGATGTTACAACCTATACAGTTCGTCTTCATACTTCTGCTTCCGAAGTGATCTCATCGACTGCCCTTCCCATTGTGCAATCTTATCAGACCTTTTTTATTCGCAGCACCATACAAACGCCTCACTTGCTTGCACAGCTTCGTAGCGGTTTCGCGAACAGTTTAGCCACTTGTATGGAAGTATGATCGACTGGAACTCCTGCGGTGGGTGTTGGCATTAAATCATGAAAACTTACCTCATTGTGGTGTGAGTTACTCTGCTCTCTAAACAATAAGTAGCGCTAGTTGCCAGACATGTGGCCTTGCTGGACGCTCAGATGCGGTACGAGCTTGCGCATGTACGGGCTGAATGAGTCAACAGAAGTGGATCCCCTTTCCCGTTCAAAAAGTGCGGAAGCGGTACTAACGAAGCTTGAAGACTAACAATCCCTTCGAACGTAACGATTCTTCCTCTGTTTCTCTCTCACTCTCTGCTCGCATGGCCCTAATTGGCTGTTGTGTCTCTCGCATCGCTCGCAGAATCAGCTTTTCGCCGTCTGTGGTAACTCACAACTACCCGCGGGTCCCCTCCTCTAGAAAATCCCGTTTCTGGCTCGAGACCTAGTTTTTTTTAGCACGTTTCAAGGCTCGGCAGCCGCTGCCCTCTAATACGCTGCGCCGCAGGGTTCGTAACAGGGCCATGTAAAATAGGGCGGAGAAAGAAGTGACGCGTCTGGCTAAGGCTGGCTGCGCGAAAGCACGGGTGCAGTATAGAGCTGGCACTCGGGCACCACTACCCTCCAGCCCCTTCCCGTGTAGTCTTGAGCAGAGAAAATACGCCACTGCAGATGCGCACCCTTTCACGTCATAGCTTTCAAGAACCGGGATCCTGGAGATGAGCGTACAGTTTGTTTTCAAGCGTCATTGGTGAAAAAAGGCGTCAACCAGAATCCTAATTTGGGGGGGAGGGGGGGGAGGGGGAAGGCGGGAAGAAGCTTTCGACACCAAATGACTGGCCTGAATTAAAACTCCACTGCTAGTTTAGCAAACGTTGCCTCATGAGTACCTGTGGCTGCCCATGTGAGATGATCATCAGCACTCTAACCCGACTAACTGGAAAAACACCAAATTCAGAAAAACCGGTTGAAAAATCTCTTTATATGAATCGAATCGACCAAAATCAGTGATGGAATAAAGCGAAAATGCAAAGGTTTTTTCACAAGCAGTTCAAAATCGCAGTATCGATTTAACACAACAATAGCGCTATTGTGACATACGATCCATAACCTAATATTTCGCACGAACCAGATCTGGACGAGCTGTCACGACTTCTCACTCGCTACTATTGGTAATTCTATTTCCTAGACCTACATATACTGTGTATGAATCAGTGACCAATACCGACGAAATGAGGAATAAAATAAGGAAAGAAGAAAGTAAGGATACAGTCACAGAATGAAGACTCTCGGATTTTTAGGTGGGCGGGGTCAGTGAACGAACGACCATAACTGCTCCCCTTTTCGCGATTACTATGGTGAAGAGAAGGAACGCACCAATGACGTTCTCTCCTGGCTCCGCCCACCAGCAATCTTGAGAAGATACTGAAACTGGTTCATGGAAAGATAATATGGTACAGAGCACAAAAGCATAGATGACAACCGTTTACACAAAACTCGGGAAATTCTCGAAAGCGCACGGGATGTTAAGCACAGGGTGTTAGAAAAGACTACGTCACATAAATATCACATGGAAAAGTATCTGCACATAATATACCGGATTTCATATGACTGTTAGGTAATTTGAGATATGGACCTTAACTGGATACAAAGTGTCAAAGGCTCAGAACTGATCTCAGTTTAGCAATACAGAAGGTCTAATGAAAGTTTTACATCACCGAATTGTTGAATATAAAATTTTCGATTCTGACATATATAAATACAGAAGAACACAGCCATAGTACAAAGTAATCCATATGTTCATACTCACAAAGGACTTGTTACTCACGACGAACATCTCGCCATAAATCTTTACCTAGCGAACTTCTCAGATTCCTGATGTATTGAGAACGATTCCCACAACGAACACGACCTTCGATGATTTCCATAAAGCTTCAGGAAATATCACAGAGGGCTATCGCATACGATATTGTGGACTGGAATCGCAGTGAACCCGGCCAACAAAATACCAAAAGTGTCGATATCGAAACAAATCCCATACTGAACTCCTTCCTATCAGCTGGTATCTGAAAAAAACTCTTTACAACTAAACGAACACTGTTTCGAAAAGTTTATACAGAAGCCTTTACGAATATCAACAGAAACGCTAGAAAGGCATAAGGTCCGAATATTCAGACTTCTGGGATGAGCCCCACATCTCACTTCCATTCAAAGCTTGTTAGCTTTTGGGTTGCGATTCAGCCTATGTGACTCTATACTCGCAGAACATATACCAAGCTCACTATAGAAGGTTCGCGAGTAGTTGAAACCTTTTCCGGGAATGCCATAAAATCGGGGCTGTTCGGCTGCAAGAAATTACAGGTATCCACTGGAGGCATCGGTAGTTGTGTGAGATGAACAGCAAATGCCCCACACGCAGAAATGCATTAAACCGTCGCACCGAACTGTTTCCCAAATGCGTGAAGATCCTCGTGAGAAGTGTATACCCTTTTCATGCAGAGCTGTCTACTAGTACTCATATACGTGAGAAAGGCTAAGATAAAGGGCATGTAAGGGGTCAGATCCACTATTAGTGGCCACCTGAAAGCTTAAATATCGGTGGAGAACGGCCTCGCGAGGGACAGGGCGTGTAGGGGGGAGGGGGGGGGACAGATTTCCACCATTTGGACGCCTGCCGACTTCCACAATTAAAAGAGACAGGGATGGCATCGCGCCAAACTCAGCCCCCAGGCACGCCCCAGCAATTTCGTGCTGAGATCTGAGACTAAGGAATAAAAACGCGGCACCGGGCGATCCCATCGCCGGCAAAAAAGTCAGGCGAACGCCGGCACACGGCCGCGGCACGCACGCGACGCGGCAATCCCAGAGTTGGCATCCAGTACTCCCGAGATTGGTCATTGCACTACGGCCACAGCAAGCTGTGACCTCTTCAATTGTTAGAGGTATCGTGACCCTGTTAACAATTTGAACCGCACATAAACGCACACCCCCCAAAAAAACTACAGTGTAAACTAACCTCTTCATGAATAACTCTGAAGGTATTCACATACGAAGCCCCTCCCAGGAGTCCTTCATAGACGATAACGCAGAACAGTATGAATATGTGCGATACAAAACGGTTCATTGCTTCACAATACAAAACAGTTGCATTAAGAACCTGAAACATCACGGTATAGATCCATTAACAGGAAGAAAAAATAAGAAACTAGCTATGATCCAAGAAGAACAAACCTGAAGCATTGCTAGAACAGGTAACACTTCTCCTGGTAACGCTATCAAGTCCGATGAAGATCGTGAAATAAATACACCTACTTGGTACAGCACCTGATACCAACGATACTGACTTTGAGGAGATAGACTGAACCCATGAGAACAGTCAAATTCTAAGCAATTCCAAACTGAAAATAAAAAACAATTATCGAAAAATTCTCGAAAACTTAGTCACTCCGCTGTACATACAGTAAAGAGAGCAGAACATATCAGCTTTCGTACAGTGAAAGGACTGGGCGTGTGACGGAAGGGGGGACGATGGGGATTCAAGCGTGTGCAAGAGCAGTCTCTCCCACTCAGCGAGGCCATTCCTGAACGACCGAAAGGTTCCGACAGCATCGCAAAAGGAACGTCCTAAACAGCGCTGACCACCCACGCTGCTTACAGACTCCATAACGGCTGGAATCCACCCTGACTAGGTACTCGATCGGGTAAAATTATGATCTCAGCGGATAGTGTTTCAGCCATGTTGGAACAAGTAACCTATATATTTTCAACAGAAAAAAACAACTCACAAAAAGAACTTCAAAACTTATCTCGATAACTTACCAATCCCTGATTGATGAAATACTCCGCAAAGTAAACTATTATCAACGGTATCATATATTTGAATAGCGGCGTTATATATCTGAGCTCCTGATATAAACCACCACGACTCGAAGGCTCAGGTGACATAACTAAATTCAGATGTAAAACAACTGAAGCAATAGGAAAGTTCCCTTAATTCCCGCTTCATTGCAGAGAAGTATATGATTGGGTATGAGTATCTCACAGAAGTCCTGCAATCATGAAGCCCCGTGGATCACTAAAAACCCGTGGATCACTGAAAATGGGCGAAGCACAATATATTTCTTCCGAAAGGAACGTTTTTCAATAAAGATTCCTATCACAGGCTTTGAAGACTTCCTCCACTTTTTTTATAAGAGTCAATGCTTGAAAAAATACCACTGGTTTCACCCTCCTCGTCACCATCGAGAAGCGGCCTTTCAATTTCGGATTCTGACGACGCGGATCTCCGCCGAGCTGGGCGACATCGATCTGTAAACAATGCTCACACATTAAACGACCTTAGTCAATAAAATACAAGATTAAATAAGACAGCCAATCCTCTGTTAGCCGCCCCACATTGGTAACGGCAAAGCTAGACTTTTATCGGAAATTCGAATACACAGATGGGACAAATTTGCATTCCAGGATAGCTTGACCTCCTGTATACCAAACTGGGCGGTGCCAGGCTCTTGACCCAAGGAACTCTACAGATAACGATTTGTCATCGGCTGCTGCATTGCAAAAGCAGATTACAAAGCACCGCAAATCTCCCATACCGCCTCTGCTGCCGTTAGCAACTGAGTTGCATGAGCAGGTGCCAGTAACGTTTTCATTCATCCCTGCAATCTAGAATTGAGAATGGGTTCCCCGTGCTCGAGAGACACGTTGAATTTCATACAATTCGTTCGGAGCTCTCACGAAGGAATCTACCCATCTTCCTAGGCGTTGGCCCAGGTGTTCGTTTGACATCCCGTGGAATCCAGTCGCTATTCGCTTTCCAGCTTGTCGTCTTC